ATTGCTAGTAGTGTATATAGTCTACTAAATTAGAAAGATCTTTATTAAAATTACTAGAAAAAGCTAGTACTATAGTAAGTAGCTAGTCTACTAACTATAAGTAGCTAGAATATAGATAAAAAGCTAAGTAGATAACTAATAGTAAGCTTTTTTTATTTTTACTCTTTTTACTATTGTATTTTAAGATTATTTTAAGATTTAATTATTTTTTAACCTAAAATTATTTTTATTTCTTCTATATTTTAGAGGCAAAATAATGTTATATACGTTTTAGCTCTAAGATAGTTCTACTTAGAAGCGCTCCTAGAATTGTGTAGAGATAATTGTGAAGGACCCCCTAAGATCGGTATGGATGCAGGTGAGGGCCGTGCTAACCGGATGCGGGGCTAGGCACGTGGATTGTGGTTTTGGGGACCACGGGGTTGACGTCGGTCGGTCGGTCGGTCGCTATGGTTGCTGCGTTGGTTTGCTGGCGTGGCTTTTGGGATTATAAGAAGGGGTTGCGTGTGCTCGTGGTGGGGAGGTGAGCTGGTACTTGGGGCTTTTAGGCTTCTGCTTCTGGATTTCTACTGTATCGAGACTTTCGTTTGAGTATCTGAGTGGTAGCTTTATTCGTTGTATCAATTCAACGTCATCCCTTCTTAGGTCCCGCGGACCCTGAAACTCGCGTGGTACTCACCGACCTTCCTTCCTGCAGTGCACGTGTGGGGCTGATCTTCCTTTCTTTACTGGGGCCACGGAGCTATTGTGCTTTCCCGGGTTCTGTATTTCTCTTGTCTTGTTGAGAAGGAAGGCATAAGAGGACTGTCAGCAAACATCTTCCTGCTTTCTTTGTTCAATTTCCACGTCTTCAATTACCTCCAGGACGACCATCCAACAACATCACCTGGACATCCAACATGGCTGATCAACACAACCTCACAACCACAACCCTACACCCATCCTACGAACCAACCATACCACCACCCCACCCAAGCATGTTCACAGAAACCCACCTCCACATGCTCATCGCAACGCTCGCCCTCCTCCTCCCCACCCTAACCGCCCTCTACATCCACAAAGACTACCGCGCCTTCCTCTCCCTCGGCCCCGGCGGCACCCCAGCAACCCCCCTCGGCTACCTAAAAATCAAACTGCTCTCTCTAATCTGCCTGCGCGACCCCCTCCGCCCCATCGCCATCCCCCCACACTTCCGTCCGCAAAAAGGCTACTTCACGCCCGCCTCGCTACCCACTCGCAAAGGCACCAAGCCGCTCATCCGCGGTATCGCGCCGCAGAGGCAGCAGACGCAGAAGAGTGGGCAGGCGGTTTATGGGTGTTTGGTAGCCAAGATCAAGGGTCTTGCGGCGGATCCGGGGAATAGGTTGTTGGAACGCACGAGTTGCTTTGAGAAGCATAGTTCGGGGTTGTTTACTAGTGTGCCGATTACGAGGACGTGTGGAGGCGAGATTTGTCATGCGCATCCGAGTGATGGGTCGATGCATATGACGTTGCATCCTGCGGATGCGAATCTGTTGATTGAGATGGGGTGGGGTGAGAGACATCCGCTTGCGAGGGGGGGTTGGTGTAGGAAGTTTGTGCCGAGAGAGTTTATGCTGGTTTATGCGCCGAGGGATGAGGCGGAGGTGGAGGTTGTGGCGAAGGTTATTGCGGCGGGGATCTGGTGGGTTAGTGGTGTTGATGTTAATGGGGATGCGGAGGGGCCGAGGAGGAAGAGTGCGGATGTTGCGGCTATTGGCGAGGAGATGGAGGGGAAGGAGTGTTGGGCTTGTAGGGTGAATGGGTGTGGAGGGAATCAGGTTGAGAAGCTGACGAGCGAGGCGTGAGGAAAGGATTGAGGAAAGGATTGAGGGGAAAAGAGTTATGGGAACAGATTGATTGGGATTGCTGGTTTTGCTCGTTTAAGCAAGGCGTTTGGGTTTTGGGATGGTCGGGACACAGGGTATGGGGCATCGAGATTAGGCATTCGGGCGATGTACGATAGGCATAACGGTGGTCGATCGTACAATCATCTTTCGTTCCGGGTATGAGACGCTTCGTGACGATGTGCATGCCCAAGCACACGACTGGTGCGCGTTGCCAGTCCATCACGCCCGTCCGCTGGACTTCTTCAATCCAAATCTCCCCCGCTGTCCTTGACCATCTATTGTTTCCCCCGGGGTCCTCAACATCTACTGTCTCCCACCCTGCCTAACCCACTCCTCATACTCCCTCCTCTTCCCCTTAACATCCCAGAATCCCTTCCTCCCCTCACCCTTCCCGCCAATCCCGCCATCCAATCCCAAAAACGCATACGGATCACCCTCACTCAAAACCTCCTCGCCCTCTTTTGTGTAGTAGCCCTCGCCGTGTCGTCCTTCCCGCGAAATCTGGCCCGCCCATTGTGCGTATTGTATTGGCTTCAGCGGCGCAAACGATATGACGATGCCGAGGGAGAGGATGAGGATGGAGGTGAGGAGTTCGAGCGAGATGTCGAGGGGGAGGGGCGTGGTTGCGAAGGTTGCGGTGTGTTCGTGGGTCGAGTAGACGCTGGTGGGGGTTAGTTGGTGCGTAGGGGTTGTGCGGTGGTGCTCATGTGATCCTCGCTTTGAGGATAGGGCGATATGAGCTACGTGTACACGTACGCATGTGTGAGGAAGAGCGCGCCGATGCCGTTGAGGGCCGTCCCTAGGATGGCCATTGCGAGGTTCGGTGGACCGTGTGCGGCTTGTTGGCTTTTCGAGAGTCTGGCGTCGGCGATAACCGGCTGTAAGTTGGTATGTACAGGGTTTGGTGACCTATGTGTCGATGTAGCGCAGGAGGCGGGTGGGCTGGTGGAGGTCGGTGTTGGTGATGCGAAGCGACGAGCTTCACTTTTGCTTGGCGCCGACAGGTGATCCGCCGCAGACCCTGAAGTCTGCATCATCACGACGTTCATCCTGTCAACTATCAGCTACTCCTGTTCAACAACGCCAGTGACTTTCAATCGTATTACAATCTAAATCGTAGTACATCATCTAGGCTACAGTCTCTAAACAGCACATGTCCTTCTTCGTTGAGCGACATACGGCGTACAGACTCTCATGCGCGCTGACGCAGACTGCAGCAGAGTCAGCAAGGATGCCAAGGCAACAGTCTACATAGCTCCGCTATTGGATCCCTAAAGGTTAACGCCTTTTATGTCCGCAGTAACAGCGTCCGGAGAAGAGCTCGGAGAACACGGTCTCCGTCCCAATGTGCGAGATTGCCGTTCGGAGGAGCATCGTACTGCGTCGGCTTTTTGTAGCAATGTCAATATAAGAATGTACATGCCTGGAAGGATAGACCCTATTATAATTGCTGTATCGTTGCCCTTTCACATTTACTGCCTACCCTCCTCTACCGACGAACCCTATTCTCCAGTCCTACTGCGTTGTGCGTGCGTCCAAACACCAGCAATTCATCAAAGCAACTCTCTAGTCCTTCCCAAACACCATTGCAGAGATGCCAACCTCACACCCCCTAACCATCCTCATCACCGGCGCCGGCGTCTGCGGCCCCCTCCTCGCCCTCATCCTCCAACGCAGCAACCCCACCCACACCATCACAATCCTAGAACGCTACCCCTCTCTCCGCACAGGCGGCCAGCAGATCGACCTAAAAGCCCACGGCATCCCCATCATGCAGAAACTGGGTCTCCTCGAAACACTCCGGCCCTACTGTGTCCACGAGAGCGGCCTGGAATTTATTGACGGAAACGGCAAGAGCTTGATGCAGTTTGGTGTGACGGCTGCGGGGGAGAACCCGGGAAGGACGCTGACGAACGAGTTTGAGTTTATGAGGGGGGATTTTGTGAGGATGGTGTATGAGATCAGTCGACAGGAGCGCGAAATGCTGGACGAACAAGGGTATGGTGGGAGTTTGAAGTATGTTTTTGGGACGACTGTTACTGCACTCTCACCAGATCCATCGACAAAGACAACAACAGTGACATTCTCCACGGGTTCGACATCCACATTCGACCTCGTCATCGCTGCAGACGGCCAATCGTCACGGACCCGGCGCCTCGCCTTCGGTCAAGAAACCAGTGACGCTTCCTTCCACTCCCTCAATATACACGCCGCATACTACAACGTCCCGCGCCTGCCCACGGAAAACAGTCTCGCGCGGATATACTTCGGTCCGCAGAACCGCATGGTAATGACGCGCACGGGCGATCGTCCTGTCACACAAGTCTACCTGTTCCTCTTGAACAACCGTGAAGAGCGGGCAAGTCGCATGAAGGGTACGTATAAGAAACCAGTCGATGAGCAGAAGAACGTTTGGACCGAGGAATATGCTGATGCGGGGTGGGAGTGTCCGCGGTTTCTGAAGGGGTTGGAGGATGTGAAGGATTTCTACGCTACGGAGATCGGTCAGGTCAAGATGCCAGAGCAGCAATTGTATAAAGACAGAGTTGTGTTACTCGGAGACGCGGGGTACTGTCCCTCTGCTTTCACGGGCATGGGAACAACACTGTCACTCATTGGCGCGTATGTCCTCGCTGGCGAATTGGCGAAGTGCGGCAGTGATGTCGATGCGGCGCTGGAAGCGTATCAGGAGGAGATGAAGCACCCAATTGAGGAGTGTCAGGAACTGGGCCCGTTGGTGAAGGAATGGAGGTTCTTTCCGGAGTCGGCATGGGGGATTTGGGTTGTGGGATGGGTGCTTTGGTCGATTTCGACGATGAGGGTGGATAAGGTGCTTGGGTGGCTTGCGGGGTGGCTGCCGGAGGGGAAGGAGAAGAGGTGGGAGTTGCCGGAGTATGAGAACTTGAACTTGAGGGCGCCGAAGATGGAGTGAGGTGGAGTAGGAGGAAGATGAATTTCGATGCCGTGGCAGGTGTCGTAAGGTTGTAGCGGCCGGATTTTGTACTGTATGTTTGCGCTGCGATGCGATGATACCAATCCCAACTCATGGTAATGAACGATGTAACACCATCGCCCCAGTAGGATTTGCCCCATCGTGTTCAAGAAGCTGATTCAAACACGACACATAACGACTCATATCTTCTTCTGCCCAGATAGTCTCTTCCTCGCTCTTTGCCATCTTGACTCACCGCCTCCGCGATCAAGCAAGCTGTCCATCACCTGTTGCATGTCCTTTTTTCTCTCTTCAAACTCCGTACTCCAGATCCCAGGGTGGTCAAAACGCTTTACGAACACTTCCCACTTCTTTGCGTCCAGCGCGCCTAACAAGCGAGAAGCATGTAATAACTCCTCTTTCGATAGGGTTAGGCCTCTGCCACGAACGTAGCTAACGAGATTGAACAGCACAGCGAACTCTAGAAAGCTGTTGACGGTGCCTCTGAGTTTCCGAGGCACGATGTCATCGTATACAGTCGCGTATATTGTTGTGGTACGCCCGACTTCATCTAGAAACTTGACTGGGCAAATATTGAGCCGCTGTTCTAGTCGCAGGGCGTAATCCACGCAAAATATGAAGTGAGAGGTCTTGGTACTGGTGGTCCCGGCAACAGTCTTGAATAGACCTAGTTGACCGTTGGCCCAGTGCCATTCAGGATCGAAAGCATCATGCCCCGTATTGTCGAGCATGATGTTCCATATTCGTTGAGATCGGACAAAGTCTTTCGCAATGCGGTGTGTCCAGGTAACGTGAGACGCTATAGGTTGTTAGCTTCAACCAGATCTGTAATGAAACTCTAGCCTACCCTTTGACAATCCAGACCTTGCACTTTCATACTGGCTATCTGTCTCTAGAAATCCTCTGCATCGGGTTATCAGTCGACGGTTCATCATTTCGAGACGCTCGTATATCTCATTGTCTGACAGCGGTCGGGCTTCATTCCTCAATGCCGCGTCGTCGTTGTTACCGTCTGCAAACCATAGCTCGAGAAGAAGGGGCCGTGGTTTTATCGTCATCAGACGAAGGAGTTGGGACGCGTGCTTGAGAAGCTTCTTGTCCAGACGTCCGAGGAGTTTGGTAAACAGTTGCTCTAGTCCAGATGGCATTGTCTCGAGCCGAGCAATGAGACTGCCTATACGGGACGTCGGTGACATATCGTCTAGCAACAATTGCGACACGATGTATGCCCAGAGAAAGATGCCGGCTGCCTTCTTAGCTATGCCTTTGACCAGTTCAGTAGCGCGAGTGGGATCTGTTTTGCTGAGCTTGACGTATACTTGCGACCTTGCCAGGGAGGCCGTGACGTAGTTGCAGATATCCTGGCGATTCCAACGTTCAGGGCGTAGATTAGGATGGCCTGCCAATGCGCGAAGAAGCTCTGGCGACGACCGACTAGCAACGCAAACCTTGACATTTGGATATTTGGCTATATCTTTGATTAATTGAAGAATGTCTTTCAGGCCGCCTTCGAGTTCGTCTAGGCCATCGATTGCGAAGAAGAACGATGTTGGTGTGCTAGGCGTGGAGATCATTGTTATAAAGGCCTGACGCAGCTCAAGCCATGTGAAAGGTTGTCGTCCTCCACCAGAAGCAAGGAATTGTTGCCAGCGATGACGAAAGACCTGGATCAGGATTTCCATGTCGCCTTTGAGCGCAGAGTGAAGCAAGGCTTGTAGCAGCCCCATACGCGACTTTTGCATGTGGTTGCCCAGACTAGACAAGAAGAAGCTCCCTTTGACGAGTTTTCTTCCTTTTGCCCAAGCGCGCAGGTGAGCGGTAGTGCAACGGTGACTAGACAAGAACTTCGTCAGCGTGCTCTTCCCAGTACCCGGCTTCCCACTGATCCAATATGCATTGCTAGACCCTGTTGCTGCGAGCCACCGAGGAAAGGAGTCAAAGTCATCAGTGTTGGGCTGTTCGGGACTTGCATCTAATATCCATCGCGAGGTTCCTGGGTGCGCAATAGGAATCGCCTTGTACCGATCGTGCATGCCAATGAAATGCAAGCGCGCCAACATCAAGCTGGCGAAACGGCCTTCCATATCATTGCTTACGACGGAGTTCTCAAATGTGTCTGAAAATGCCGAGACATCAACCGTCTCCATAGTCTTCCAATCGTGATGCGCGATAGACTGGAGTAGAAGTACATCAGGTCCTGTATTGCCGTCCACCGGAAGCCGTCTTTTCTCCGAATGAACTGAATGCTGTCGAGTCGCATGCTGTCTATGATCTGGGTCAATGTGTGATCGCACTAGTGACATCTCACTGACCGGAGCGCGGCGAGCAGAGCGACATCTACTTGCTTACGAATAGAGTCAAGTCTATCCGCAAGATCACATATCGTCTTCTGGCTGTAGTACAAGCTCAAAACGCTGCGTAGTCCTTGTGCAAGTACCGTCTGCTCGTCCACGTCATGGTTTCGCTTCGCTTGATCCAGTGTGGCCTGTAAGATCTTCGCCACTCCCCCGCCATCTTTCGCCAATGCCATAAGTTGTGCATCTGCAACTTCCTGATCAGGGGATATATGTGACTTGTAGTATATGCGTCGTGCCTTCTCAAGTTGTTGTGATAAGTCGCCGAGATTAGCGATGGCGTCATCGAGCAGTGTAGCCTCTCTTAGGGTAGTGCCGGTGGATTTGTATACTTTGCCCACCTTGTCCTTCTGGGCCACTTTCCTCGAAAAGTCGACAAGTTGTATGACAGCTGAAGCCAGTGACACAGCCATCTGAGGCTCCATGGAAGTGCGAGGTGTTACAGAGCGACATTGTATATGGGATCAGGCAGGATAGAGAGTGACGGCTAAGGCGGCAGAAGATTGTGTTCACGCGCTTCGCTAAGGCGTCTGGCATCCTTTAGCTCAGCCATGTTGGTGTAGTCGACCAGTCAGTACGTAGGAAGGGCTTGATGATATTAAGGGCTTGCTTCCTGCTGCTACCCGGTGTCCCTCACGTAAAGCCATGCTCTTCTTAGTCATCTCAATGACGTGCAAGGATCTGATGGCGGGGGCATGGCCTGCTGAATGTGGAAACTCGAGTCGAAAACTGTGACCAAGAAGGAAATAAACTAGAAGACATGTGAAGAGCGATTAGGGTTTGGGGGTGGAGAGCGGTGAAAGACCCGCAGCCGTGGTTCACGCTATGCGAACTCGTCTTTTCTAGCGTTGCGGACCGCCGAGGCGCACCGTGCGCCAGGTAAGCTTTCCCCGACTGTCGCTGATTGCACGTCACTCCACGACACACGACCATGGCCGAGTACTGGAAGTCAACAGTAAGTAAGACTAAGCCTGATAAGCGCGTCATACACTAACTAAGCTACAGCCAAAATACTGGTGCAAGTTCTGCTCCACGTTTGTGAAGGACACCAAATTCGAACGCGCGCAACACGAGGCCACCGGCCGCCACCAAGGCAACATCCAGCGCAGTCTCAAGGGACTCCATCGCGAACAAGAAAACGAAAAGCGCAATCAGGCGCGCGCACAAGCAGAGGTCGCACGTTTAAACGGCCTTGTACCATCCGCATCGACGCCTTCCGTCGCAACCGGCGTAGGCGGCAAACCTACATATGAGAAGAAACCACAACAGAAGGCGACAGTAGACGACAGGAAACGACAATGGGAACAGTTAGCAGCCATGGGCGTGGCGCTTCCTGCGGCCGCAAGAGGCGATATGGCGATAGCAGGTGAATGGAAGACGGTCAAGGAAGAAGTCGTGGGAGAAGTGACGGAAGATGGAGAGTTCAAGGCATCGTCGTTGAACAAGGGCGTACGGAAGAGGCAACTTGACGAGGATGAAGAGGAGCGGGAGGCTGCTGGTGAGCTGATCACGAAACGGAAGGGCTGGGGACATACCTACAAGAGTTTCCCAGGCAGCAAGGGCGGCGACGACGATATCGAGAGCCTGCTTGGGAAGAAGAAACCACAAGCCGAAGTGAAGAATGAAGACCAAGAGGATGGGGTGAAAGCCGAAGTTGAAGAAGACATCGGCACGAACACCCTTCAGGATATACCCACGGCCGAGGAAGCGGAGGCGAAGGCTGCTGAGACTGTTGTCAAGAAGGAAGAGGACGCGTCAGCTGCTCCGGCTGTGGTGTTCAAGAAGAGGAAGAAGGCGAAATGAACGACATAACCAGCGACACAACCCACAACATCTGCACCAACCGCTCACGTTGCTACCGATCTCATCCCGAATTTTGCTTATCTCAGCTCCCACTTGGACACCAGTCGAGAGTGGGATTTCGCAATAAGTCCGGGGAAACCTCAAATGAGTTTTGCTGGTGAGGATGGGCATGCGCATGCAGCAGAATATCATCACCATCTACCACAAGGGTCTAAATGACTACCTGGATGGACAAGCTGATTAGGGAAGCGCTGCATGTAGCTAGTGTAGTACTATTTGCGGGTGTCTTTGTGAAGGAGCAACCAATTGCGGAGCGAAGAGTCCAAGTAGGACTTGAGACTTCTCCAGGGCTGCCTCTCAGGGAATCAGAGACCAAGGTGAAGGAACACCAAGTTCACTGTATTATCACAAACACATGCCATACTCCAACTACACTTGATGCTTGATTCCCTCCAACCGTGAGCCGCTCGTTTAACATCCACTTCCCGATCGGCGCATGCACCTAAACCTTAAACCCCTGCCCAAACGTCTGCCAAGTAGCGTCAACCGCGAGATCGCGTCGCCAACACCAGACAACTGTCGCGCTGCACCACAACGTGCGCCTCAACCACCAACCCTCCACCACCGCACCCAGCACTCCCAATACTCCTTTCATGGTCGCATAATAGCATGATTCAACTGCTAGCGACACCTACGCGACCATGCATCTCATTAAACCACAGTGGTTAACCCATCCCGGTGGGTGCACCCGCGCATGCATGCCCTTTTCTACTAGCATCTTACTGACATGCATTCCTACTAGGCGAACAGAAAGACTTTGAAGTATACAGCTGCCACGTTTCCCCTGATGGATCGCGCCTGGCCACGGCCGCCGGAGGTTCGTCAACCCACCCTCGATTCCCACGCGATGCGCTGCACCTCAGAATACTGCTAACACGCATCTATAGATGGCTATGTACGTGTCTGGTCTACCGAGGCCATTCTAAATTCCAACGACCCCTCGTATACGAAGCCGAAGCAGCTCGCAGCTGTCAGCAACCACTCAGGCACCATCCATGCGGTCCGCTTCTCTTCCAACGGCAAATACCTGGCGTCTGGCGCAGACGACAAGATAGTGTGTGTATATGCGCTCGACAAGAATGCGCCAACACATACAGCATTTGGTGGGTATACGTTAGGCAGGTACAAGGGACGTAGGCTGATAGGATTACAGGATCGAATGAACCGCCGCCCGTCGAGAATTGGCGCGTCATCCGTCGCCTCATAGGACACGACAACGACGTACAAGATCTGGGCTGGTCATTTGACTCGTCGATATTGGTGTCGGTGGGGTTGGACTCGAAAGTGGTAGTCTGGTCTGGGCATTCCTTCGAAAAGCTGAAGACGCTATCAAACCACCAGAGTCACGTCAAGGGCATAACATTTGACCCCGCCAACAAATACTTCGCTACAGCTAGCGATGACCGCACCATCAAAGTCTACCGATTCAACTCCCCGCCCCCGAACGCCTCGCAGCAAGACCAGGTCAACAACTTCGTCCTGGACCACACCATCACCGCACCCTTCCAGACCTCTCCGCTCACCACATACTTCCGCCGCTGCTCGTGGTCACCCGACGGCGCACATATCGCTGCTGCAAACGCTACAAATGGACCAGTCAGCTCCGTCGCTATTCTTGCACGTGGAACCTGGGATGGAGATATCAGTTTGGTCGGCCACGAAGGGCCCGTTGAAGTAACCTCGTTCTCCCCAAGGCTGTTCTACCGGGATGAGCCAAGGCCAGAAAAAGATGGAACTATTAACCAGCAGACGGTTACTATCGTCGCTTGCGCCGGACAAGACAAATGCCTGAGTGTGTGGAATACGAGCTTCCCCAGGCCGTTCATGTGCTCGCAAGAGCTGGCTAGCAAATCCATCTCCGACTTGGCATGGTCACCAAACGGAGAGACGCTATACGCAACAAGCTTGGACGGCAGCATCATGACTCTTGTTTTCGAACCCGGAGAACTCGGCTACCCAGCGACATTTGCGGAAAACGAAAAGACACTCGCTAAGTTCGGTGCCGGTAGAAGAGTTGGTATCATCGAGGGCACAGACGCGCTACTTCTGGAAGAGAGCAGTAAGAGTGGGGAGCTCAAGGGCGTTCAAGGCAGGATGGGTGCACTAATGGGCGACGGAGGTGCAGTTCAACCACCGACTATCACGAACGGCACCAACGGCGTCACTCCCTCGACAACCCTCACCAACGGATCAGGCGCCGCAGCACCACTACAGGCCCCGGCTGAGCCACCCCCAGACGTGAGGGTTGAGAAGCTGAAGCAAAGAGTGACTGTCACCAAGGATGGCAAGAAGCGTATAGCACCTATGCTCATGTCATCTTCGTCTGGCGTTGGCGAGTCTTCGTTACCTCAAACACAGCTCCTTTCTGCGACGACAACGTCAGGTGGCAGGAGTGACAATCCCCACAACATTCTAGACCTTTCAAAGCCGTACGACGGTTTCCCGAGAGGCGGACTTGCCTCCATGCTGATCGGGAACAAGCGGAAATTCGCCGAGATCGAAGGCGATGAGGACCGACAAGTGGAGAAAAGACTGGCTGGTTCGGTGAAGCCTGGAGGCGCAGCAATCGTGATAAACAGTGAAAATGGTCTTGTCCCTCCCGCTGCTGCAGCTGCTAAGAACAACGAAATGACAGAGCCTCCAAAAGTCCTAAGACCGGCCATCGTCAACCCTAACATGGCCCTCGCCCAGGTACGATTAGCCGTGCCGAAAGTGAGAAGCGTCATCGTGCGAACTATGGACGGCAGCGAGCCACCGCAGAGTGGTGTCGATGCCAACACAGGCAAAGCGGAAATACCAGACACGGTCGTTCTAGAAGCGCGCAACGCTAGCGGACCATCGCGGACGGGACGGCCACAAGACCACGACCCTACGCGGTTGACATGCACCAGCAAAGGACAGTCACTTTGGCAGGACTTCTTACCAAAGGCCGTGCTCTTAGTGACTGGCAACACAAACTTATTCGCAGCAGCATGCGAGGACGGATCAGTATACGCATGGACGCCAGCCGGCCGACGGACGCTCAACGCCATGGTTTTAGAAGCTCAACCAGTGATCATGGACTGCCGTGGCTGGTGGCTAATGTGCATAACAGCAGTCGGCATGTGCTACGTCTGGAATCTCAAGACGATGTCTGCACCCCACCCACCCATCTCCCTAGCACCCATCCTAGACGTCGCAGCCTACGCCCAAGGACCCCACCTCACCCGGTCCCCCGGCATCGTCTTCGCACGTCTGAACTCAGCCGGTCGCATCACAGTAGCCATGTCCAACGGCGAGGGCTACGCCTACAACCCCGACATGTACATCTGGCAACGCATATCCGAGCCGTGGTGGGGCGTCACAAGTCAATACTGGAACTCGACCGATTCCTCCGTCGGCAACATCCGCTCCTCCAAAGACAAGAACGCCGCACCGAAAGAAAAAGACGACCAAGTCTCCATGGAAAACATCTCGGCAGGCATCATCCCCGCGCTCGAGCGCAACACAACAAACCAATCCCTCCTCCAAGGCCGCGCCTTCCACCTCCAGCGCCTCATCAAGATCCTCGTCTCTGCAGAAGGTTACGAGACATTTGAGAGCTCGGCCAGTGTTGCTCATCTTGAGAACCGTGTCGCTGCTGCCCGTACACTGGGTGCCAGGGAAGAGTTCAAGATTTACCTGACCATGTACGTCAAGCGTCTCGGCGCCGAAGGCCTCAAAGGCAAGATTGAAGAGCTCCTACGCAGTCTTATGGGTAGTCTCGTGTCGGAAGAGGAAGAAGGCAACGACGAACAAGACGAAGCGATGAAAGAACCGGAAGAGATTTGTGGTTGGAAGAGGGAGGAGTTGCTCAAGGAAGCCGTGTTGATTCTAGGTAAGTTTCTCATGCTTTCTACGACAGTGCGAATCTGGTATACTAACCTCCCACGCAGGAAAACACCGCGACCTCCAGCGCATAACAGTTCCCTACGCCCGTCTTCTCGGTATCGTGGCCGAGGGCCAGCGTCAAGACGACCAGGCTATGATCACGGATATGTAGCCGTCCTCTCTTCTCTTTCTCTCATTTGTTGATTCACTTCATCTTTTGTACTAAAAGCATCACTTATGGCGACTAAGAGGTGGCTTGAGCGACCGGGTTTACACGTTCAGGCGTCCAGAGGCGTTGCTGGTAAAGATGGGAATCGTATGTGTTTTTGCTTTCTTTGCTTGGAAAGGGAAAGGAGTGGATATCACGTAATTGTAGAACATTTCTTGGCAACGAAGGGGACTGGGGATATGTCTTGGGGCGATCGCGAGTGAGCGGATTTGTAGGGGATGGGGGAGGTGGGGATGGTGTGGTGGGCCTGATCATGTCTGTGTGGATGGGTATGAAGCGTTTTGTTAGTTGTTTATGTCACGTTGCGCAGGCACATCGACATATAGCTCCCTCACTGTCAACCCTTTTTTCTCCTCGCTACTTCCCATTTTCCCGATCCCCCTCCCAACATCCCTCGCAAACAAAAACTCTGCTCTAAACCCACTCTCCTCCCCAGCATCAGGCATCACACTCCCGCTCCAAAGACTCACCTGCTCTAGCGGCCACCCCTCCCCATCAACATGCATCTCTTCGATCTGCACAACGCGTTCAGCCAAGATACGATACTGCTCCAGGTTCCAGAGTCTTTCGCGGGGCAGGTTGCGAGAGAGTAGCGCGATGGCTTCGCGGCGAATGGCGGAGTAACGACAGCGGAGGGCTGTGAGATATGACGCGGGGACTGAGGATGTCTTGAATCTGAAGTTTGTTGCGGCGCTTACACTGTAGGCTCGTGGGCGGGAGATCGTCGCAACGTCTAAGGCGTTCATGACGAGGGTACCTAGGTAGCGTAGTAAATAACCGCTTTGAAGCTGCCAAGATGCGCATCGAATGGTCTTTAACGCGCGGAGTGCGCACACGCTGTTGCTACCCAGGTCCTTACGCAGACTGGGAGCTCGTTACGAGATACGCATCACGAACGATCGCCGAAGGAGCCCGGTGACCATTGCCATCATCACATCAATCGTGAACGCGCACTTCCCGACACCTAAGTCTATACCAAGGCCTGGGTTCTATGCATAAGGATGCCCGTTGTAGACGGGTTCTTCCAAGGTTGTATGGGGAGCGTGCGGGCGTATTTCGTACATGCTGCGCACAGGCCGTTTATCGTTGCGGGGCGGCCAACGGCTGCCGAGATGCGATTCGCGGAGTGCTGTGCCTACGTCGACGGTCGGCTTGTTAGGTGCACTGTACCTGAACGCGCCCCACCTAGCTGTCATGCCGAGTAGGTCTTCTTCTCTGTCTTCCGCGCTCGAGCCCAAGGGGTGTCTTCGCCAGGGCAGCCTTGGTTGTGTATGTACATTGGGGATGTATATTCGGCAACGGTGGTTTGACCCACTTGGTACGACATACGAGCGGGACGGAAAGATCCGACGGTTCTGATGGTGATTGCTGGATGCGTCGCGGGTGGCGCAGCACGGCGATGAGAACGGCGAGCTGGAGCTTTACCAGAGTAATATCGGAGATTGCATCACCAAGCTTTTGGTGCCCAGGTGGGTAGTCGTATTTCGGAAAGGGAAAAACGATCTCCTATATAGGTATACCTAGGTATGTGATCACCGCTTTACTTTTGTTCGCATGAGTCCACCTTCGTTTCATCTCTTTCTTTACTGCATTCGTTCAGTCCTTATCGAGGACTTCCACCATATCATGGGTTTCTCTCAACTGGCCCTACTGGCTTGCCTGACAGTTGCAGAAGCAGCAACAAGACCAAGATCCCAGTCACTGCATCCCGTGCACCGAGCAAACGACAGCCTGCCGGCGATATTCGGTTCAAATGGCACTACTACCCTCAAAGGGACTACTACGGCCCCGGCCGTGGTCATTCTTGACTACGGTGCTAACGTCGAAGGCCATCCCACTTTCGAAGTCCTTTCAGCTACTGGCGACACTTCCGGTCTAGAGATCACGTATAGCGAGACTAGAGCGGTATTGGACGCTTTCTACACAGTAAGTCTTACGCCGCACGTGATTTTGGAACTCATACTGATTCATTATGCAGAGCGATGGTCCAATCGCTTTGGCCGCAGCTATGGACACCTACAGAGTCAATCAGTACAACGTCACTGGGCCCATGATACATACCAATCGACTCATTCAGGGTGGCTTCAGGTACCAGAAGCTTAACCTCTCGACCACAGGCGAATTGGTACTGAAGAACGTCGGTGTGAGGCCTACAATCCAGAACACACCCCTTGATCAACTGCCAGGATACTTCGAGACTTCGGATGAGGACCTCAATCGGATTTGGAAGGTTGGAGCGCGAACAGTTCAATTAAACGACATTCCTGCGCACTCCATTCCGGCGTTCTGGCAGGTCTCCTCTGAAGGTTCTCTGGTAGAGAGCCAGGCACCTCAAGTTCTGTCAGGCGGCGCCGCTGCTGGACTGATGAGCTACCAGCTTGCATTCGAAGTCAAGCCCATTGCCAAAGGGCTGGGATTCTCCGTATTGGCTGACACTCTCAACTCCGGAATCTATATCTTCTGCAATATTGCCAATGGATCGATCTCAGCACACTTCGGATCCACTGAGGATTCTCCTCCACTTGCATTCGCAAGGTTGCCAGCAAACATTACCCTTGGTAGCTGGCACAAAGTGGAAGCCAGTGTGGATACGACTGGCATCGCTGTATCTTTCAACCAGGTTCCCGTTCTTCAATTTTCGCAGACTTCTGCATTTTTCGGATCCTTTGGATTGGGCGCGTCATTCGGCCACTCTGCCGTTTTCCGCAACCTGTCTGCTACGACTCTGACAGGTGAATCAATCTATTCGGCCTCTTTGACAGATGAGGCTTTCTTGCCGGACTTTCTAATGGGCACAAACCCGCACGACACAACGGTTGACGGCTCGAAACGCGACCGCATTGCGTATGCAGGCGATCTGGACATTGCGCTCGTGTCCTCTCTATCGAGTACCAATGGTATCAGTTACATCAAAGGCACGCTCGATCTTCTTGGTTCCTTCCAACTGACCCCAGGATTCTTCGCACCCACAGCAAAGATCCAACAAGAGCCACTTTCCACCCCAGTCGATGCCAACGTCACTGGCCTGATCGGCTACTCTTTCAACCTCCTCACCGCAGCTGCCAACTTCTACATGCGCACCGGCGATGTCGATATGCCAAAGAAGTGGGCACCCAAAGCCGTACGCATGCTGGACTGGGCACACTCTCAAGTCCTGCTCGAAAGTGGGTTGTTGAACATCACCAACCCTGCCTTGGGCGGCGATTGGAACTATTACGATCCGTCGCAGTCGGGTGTTGTTACCAAGTTCAACATGGTCTACGCATACGCACTCCAGGAGTGCATCAGGCTCCTTGCAGACGGTGGCATCGACACCAAGCCCTACATTGCCCGCCTAGACGCTCTGCGCATCGCGATTGACCGGAACCTCTGGTCGAATGAACTCAACGCCTACTACCTCTCCCAATCCATCAACAATAGCTTCGCACAGGACTCGAATGCTCTGGCTATTCTCGCCGGCGTGACCAGGTTCAACCACACTTCATCCCGCGTTCTTCGCACCCTCAAGCAACTCTCAACACCAAAAGGCCCTCTCGCTTTCTCGAACGGAACTATCGCAGCCGAGTTCGCGGAGTACATCAGCCCCTATGCAAGCGCCTATCACCTTCGTGCCGCATTCGAGGCCAACGACAGCGAGACGACCATGCATCTGCTTAAGAGCCTATGGGCGCCCATGGCCGACCCGCAGGGAGCTAACTACACGGGATGCTTCTGGGAGACTTTGGACGCAGCGGGTGCGCCTGCGCTGGGGAGGGGAACTAGCCTCTGCCACGGTTGGGCTGCAGGTCCCACTGGGGAGCTCAGCGATCATGTCTTGGGAGTGAAGCCCGTAGCTCCAGGGTACACTGAATGGCGAGTCGCTCCTGTTACGCTGGACCTCAAGTGGGCTAGGGGCAGAGTCCCCGTGCCCGGGGGTGAGATCTCCGTCGCTTGGAATGCTACAGGGCGTGTTATAACTAGGTTGGAGGTGATGAGCCCTAATTGTACTTCGGGCACGGTTGTCCTACCTCTGTCGTCGCAGAAAGGATATGTTGGAGGTGCTTTCAAGGTTAATGGGGAGGTCGTGGCGAGAAACGCGACATTCAAAGTTGCAGGGGGGAAGCCTTTTGTCTTTACGTACGATGTCTAGCCTCCGAAGTTTGGTTTAGTCCTGTTCCCAAAAATCCGGGCGTTGGCTGAATGCGAAAGTTGTACAAAACTGTAGATGTAATCAAAGTTATGATCCGATCCCGACATCACCAGTAATTCTGTGCAGCAAGCTCATCGCAGCGCGAAATTGTCCAGACTAACCGTTAGTTTGTTATCTGCACTAGAATCGCATTTGCGGCCAGTGCTTTTGCATATATTCGAGTAAGCAGGGTCTTCTTTGAGTTCATGTATGAGGAAGCTTGCCTGTTCACTTGAGACAACGAGGTTGTTTCTCGTCACACTTTACGCGACGTTTCCTGGTGTCTGTTGGTAAGCTTTGGCAATGCCATCGCGTAGTGCGATCAGGATAAGTGGTGCGATAGCCATACCGCGTCGATGTTGATGACACGAGATGGATGGCTCCACAAAATCCGGCAGGGCGTCGTATCCGCCGCAACTCGAACGCCCTTGACTCATCTCTTCATGAAGGATGTTCACGCCAACACGCTTAAAAGCCCAGTTTCATGCTACAATTTATCGTCTGCATCTCTTTAAAAGACATCATCCTCACGATCCTGACGTGTAAACGAAGGAAAGTTGTATTGCCGTTCCCCATCAACCCGCATCACCTAGCGCGTCCCAGTGTGGGGTAAACCTCTCCACGCGGCAATACCCCTCTCGTACCTACAAAAGCCATGACGATACCGCACGCCCTACGAAGAGCCACAACATCTAACATCCACCAAGCAAAACCTCACGCAGTCTTCACAAGTCGTATTTCTTTCTTCCCAGGAAACAAGCAATTCGCATCTTATCCCCGCAACATGAACACCCTGCAAGAAGCAAGCCGGGTATACAAGGCCTTCCAGAAAGGAGGGCCGACTTTCGGAGGATGGCAGGTAAACAACACTCAACGCGAAGTTGACTCGATGTCAAGGCTGATGGTGTGACAGATGCTTCCAGGCACGAATCACGCGCGGGCAATTGCCCGTTCAGGCGTTGATTGGATATGCGTCGATACCGAGCACGGCAACATCAACGACAGCCAAATGCACGAAGCCGTTACCGCCATCGCCCATGCGGGCGTAAGCCCTCTCGTCCGCATTGCCGCGAACGAACCCTGGATGGTGAAACGTAAGTTAGCTTTGCCACCTTCTCCCCCATTTCAAAGTCTCCAAGTGGCATCTAACACCACCCCAGGCGCCCTCGACAGCGGCGCCCACGGCGTTATAGTCCCGCTCATCTACACCGTCGACGACGCCAAAAAACTCGTTTCCTCCGCCAAATTCCCGCCAGAAGGAACGCGCGGCTTCGGCTCACCGCTACCTACCCAGTGTTTCTCAAACGAACCACTGACGTACTACCTGCGCCACGCAAACACTTCGCTCCTCACCATCGTGCAGATAGAAACCGCGTCGGCGCTGGCCTGCTGCCGTGAAATTGCCGCCTTGCCCGGTGTCGACTGTTTGCTGATCGGGCCCTTTGATCTTGGTAACAATATCGGTCATCCTATTTTGACTCCACAGATGGATAAGGAGTTGGAGGACGCGATTGAGACGATCAAGGAGGCGGCGCATGCGGAGGGGAAGAAGGTGGCTATGTATTGCAACTCGGGCGAGGATGCGAGGGGTTATGTGGAGAGAGGGTTTGATATGGTGAGTGTGTTGACGGATCAGATGGGGATTACGGGGGCGTTTGAGAGGAGTTTGGGGGTTGCGAGTGGGAAGGTTGAGGGGAGTGGGGTCAAGGGGGTCAAGGGATACGATGGCAAGTAGATGAGGAAGCGATGTATTGAACTGTGGATTGTTTGACGGGCTGTCTTAATTGAGAGTGTACGTGGGTACGCATGCATATCGCGGTAACTACTATGAGATGGGTAGGTAAATACTGCAGCCGGGTGTCGCAAATTATGAAGATCTGGCGTGACTAGGTTCAAGCCGAGGCTGCCTTAGAGCCGCCAAACCACCCACACTTCTGGCTATCAATCTTTTCAGTAGCCATATCTCACGAACCCAGATGACGGTCTAATACCATGTGGCGATAGATGGTATCGATTTGCCGCCTGCCGAAAGAACTCCGTGGGGATTACGTGGCGGGTGACGTTACTGAACCAATCCATGTCCCACTGCTCTTTATTCCAGTCCCTACGTTCGTACAGGAATACCTCTGGATCCCACAGCTCACCAACATCCCCGTCGAATCGTATGACGGAAGTACCCTCCACAATACCTCGGATAGTTTTCGCAAAGTTGGCAGGCAGATCCCGTGAGCTGTTATATTTCAGCACAAGGGGCCTAGAGGGTGGAACAGGCTCATCCAAAAGTCGTGCTTCCTGTGTAGCTGCTGCGTATTTGAGTAGGTTCCATATTTCCAAGGCTTCTTCCGTCGACCCGTCGATGACCAGGCTGAAGGAGTGAGTGGGCATTCCTAGCGAAGATAACGCCAACGCTTCTTCGATCCAGGGAATCATGACTCTGAAACACATGTCACTGAAAAGCCATCGGCAGCCTGTGTCTAAACCTTGGGACCAGACGAAACCTTCAGGAAGAAGATTGGTGAATAGGCCAATGCGCCTTTCTATACGAAGTTGAGGATTCTTGATGCAAAAGGGTATAAGGCCGCGAGCATGGACTTCAGGTCTAGACACCGCTTTGAAATCTTCGTCGAGTACTATCGTGCGCAGATTACGCATTCGCTCTTCTGGCATACGTTGTACTATGGACATCAGCAGGCGTCCACTAGAGGGGGGGGCGGGGGTTTGGGTAACAGTGTGAGCTGTACGACTTACAAAGGCCGATCGCAACAGACGCGGCAGAGAAGAACCATCTCTCGCTAGTCGCTTGGATATGGGATGTCATCTCTGGATAGTAGATAACACCCTCTTCGGTCGCAGGGAGTTCGGTATCAGTGTCGTCTGGGATGCAGAGCAGAGCCTCTAGCTTTGATAGTTCCTTATCATCTGGGCTGCTCCAAGGTTTGGGATGCCACGCATATACATCGCTTAGTGCACCTGTCACAAACATGTTCATTTGCGACAGACCCGGTGCAAACTCGATGGGGCACCATCCCATTCCGAACGTGTCGCGAGCAAGCCTGGCGAATTCTGGGCCATTACGTCTCCTGGCACATGCTATAGCGTAGTGAAGGGCGTCGCTGAATAAACCAGTAGACAAGTCCTTCGACTGGCCAGGGCCTTCGGAGGCTTCCAATGTGTCGCACTGTTCCCATACCGCTTGTCGCAAGGGTCCATGGAACCAATCTTTGACTGAAGGAAATCGAGAATCCAGATCAATAAAGTCCTCTTCTAGTAGCAGGTCAAACACTTTGATCAGAATTCTGCGCTTTTGACGCTCAGTGTATCGTAGCACTATAGCGATGACGCGTCAGTTGTGAGATCATTTGATGCTATGACCGCGCCGATACTTACTGCATTTGAAACGGCCTGCTCGAGAACTCAGCCCCATGTAAGAACGCCCGTCGTTGTGAGACAAATGCGCGCTGAAATGCAGTTTCCGGAAGACCATGTTCTTGAGCTCTTCGTGCGCAATTCGACAGGTGATGATAAGACCCAGACGGACCGTTTGTTTTGGCTCAGTCGAGTAGAGCATCTTTCCAGTGTCGCTGTCGTAATGGTAACCGTCTTCACCGAGTACATATTGTTCGTAAATAGCATCCCGGACTTCTCGAGGCAGGCGAAAGAGAGGCGATTGCAACTGTGCAGAGTAATAGTTTGTCCTCGGCGCAGTCATGAACGGAAACCCGTTCCAGTGGGCGAATTTCTTGGACGCCATTGGCGGAAGCAATATGAGAGGCAAGAGGGAGATATGAGGTATATATACGGTAGCTTTGGGGAGCGTCCGTCCAGGAGGAAGTTGTGCATGACTGCACTCGAAACCCCAAAGACTGGGACACTGTGGCGGACCATGGTTCGCGCGGGCGGCAAGTTGCCGCTAATTGGCTGAGCGCAAGCCCTACTCCCGAGGTCGTTGCTGTGACTCTGACTCTGACTCATGCATCACCAGCGCTGCTCTGAGAACCGTCCACTGCTCAGTCTCATGCGTTCGTCCGAAGTGACCCAGATTGTCACGCGGTGTTGGGACTCATGCAATCCGAAAGCAGACGCGGCTGCCAGAGGAGAAGGGTGCAGGTGGGTGGAGGCGGGCACGGACTGATCGTTAGCGTAGTGGCGCTAAGCCAATCCCGCCGCCTTTATCCCCGAGGACGCGCGACAACAGATTGCAGTCTCTCACCATGACTGACCGCGCCTAGACACAGTTGTCGGCGTCAATGTGATAAGTTGTCAAGTGCGAAGCGCAGGGTCATTTCGTAGGAACTGAAATTTGCGAGTTGAACTCGCTTCATGTTGAATGATTCGCCTACAACACACGCCCTCGCTCGAAGCTCACGATGAGACGAATGCAGATGACAAGAGACGCAATGGCTGTAGTCGAAGAGAATGTCTAGGATCACTTCAACATTGAGCCATGGCGAATGATTCGCGCCTCTTGGAGTGAGCGCCGCATCAACCCATCCGATCTTGATCTCACACTGAAGGTCTCTGACGATCTCGCAGGCTTCCAATGATATGTGAGGGAATTGGACATCAGAGGGATATGGATTCATTAATGGGCTGGCGACAGGAAGTAACATGCTACCTACTATGCGGGCCCCTGCAACATGAGAAAGAAAACGATGAGACAATATTCTTGTTATGCAAGTGCGCTATAAGATTCGTGAAGGTGTTGTGATGGCGCCGGGCTCAAGCGATAGTGGACCCAGCTGACTGGTCCTCCTCTGACAGTGCGACCGGCGAGATCCTCTCTACAGTTCTCACAAATCGTTCCGTTACCGTTCTCCATTACCTGTCTCAGTGGCGAGTGCTATATATCTCCGGAAGGATGTTCAAGGAGCTGCTGGGATGGGTCGCGTTGAATTGATCCATCCACCACTGCATATCAGTCCAGCCCATGCGCTCATGGAAGAAGACGTCAGAGTCCCAGATATCACCCATATCTCCACCTTCCAACCTAACGAAGGATGTGCCTTCCGTAATCTTTCGTACGATCTTTGAAAAGTTGTCTGGGAAGTTTGAGATGCAGTCATACCCTGGGCCATAGGGTCTGGGGAGTGCCGAACGTCCTTTTCGTCGAAGTAGCTCATGGGTCGCCTCTTGGAGAGCTGCTGCGTATTTGAAAACCTGCCAGAGATCAGGCCCGACATGGACCACTAGAGTAAAGGACTGAGCAGGCATGCCGAGTGTTGATAACTCCAAGGCTGCTTCAATCCAGAGCATCGTCTCCTGAAAGCACCCTGACATGGCCCAGACGTTACCCCGATCCGCGATGGGACATTGGGAGGCAGACACCGCGATGTGTCTTTCGATTCGGAGCTTGGGGATCTCACGGCAGAAGGGTATGAGTCCACGCGCATGATGCTCAGGACGTGAGACAGCAATCCTAGTCTCATTGAGTATGATTGTATGCATACCAACTCTCTGCTCTCGCGGAAGCTTTTGCACTGAGTGCGTTAGTGATTAGTTGTACCATGCTGAAGAGTGGCAGAACTTGAATGGACGTTGCATGTCCAAAGGGTTACTTACAGAAGTCGATCGCGATGGAGGCTGCCGAGAAACACAAAGATCGGCAAAGATTCGAAGCCTGAAGATGATCCGCTACATCCGAAAAGTAGTATGTCCCATCTTCGGTCATTGCTAATTGATGATCTGTATCCCCCGGCATGCAGATAAGGGCTTCTAATCTAGAGAGCTCATCGTCACTTGGTAGGCTCCACGAATTGGGATGCCAGGAAAATATGTCGTACAAGGCGCCTTCCACAAACAGGTTGTTGCGGTAGAATAAGGCTATACCGCCATCTAGGGGGCATCGGCCCGTACCAAACACAGTACAAGCGAGTCTCGCAAACCTAGGCGGATTACGACTCTTTGCCAGGATGAGGACGTGTTGAAGAGCATCACTGAAAGATATTGAAGCGAGGCGTTCGCGGTATTCCTCTGTATCGTCAAATTGGTCTTCCTGGATCGCCACTGTCGGGGTGAGCATGCGAAGTCAGCGTACCTTTCACATACTCTTCGCACATCTACGACTTACCAGAGTGCATCAAGTCCCGCTTAAACCTTCCTTGAGCCGATGGGAATCGATCGTGCAGATCAAGCCAGTCTTCATCCTGCAGCAGTTCGGCAACTTTGATCAGCATCCGTCGCTTTTGGCGGTCCACATATCTCAGTACTATAATAGTTCGTGTTAGTGCAAAAATGACACTTCAGGCTCAAAACATTACTTACAGCACTGAAACCGCCCAGCCCTCGAAGCAAGCCCCAGAAAAGCCTTCCCATCATTCTGCGAAAGATGAGGACTAAACTGCAACTTGCGGAAAGCGCAATTCTTGAGCTCCTCAGCAGCAATGCGGCACGTAATCATGAGACCAAGGCGAACAACGCGCTTAGGCTCTGATGATGGTGATTGCTCGAGCATCTTCCCGGTCTCACTGTCGTGATGGTAGCCATTGTCGCCTTCTCCTAGAGTGTAGTATCCATAGATGATATCCCGAATCTCGCGGGATAGTCGGAAAAGCGGAGATTGTGTCTGGCCGGAGTAGTATTTCGTTCGCGGGGCGGTCATAAAGGGGAAACCATTCCAGTGCGCGAACTTTTTGGACGCCATGAGTGCTCATGAGACCTACATGGTGGGAGACGGGGTTTATACAACATGCACCTTGGAAATGCGGTTGAGGATGACTGCACCTAGCTATCTACTTGGGACGCGCTGAGTGAAGTACTCTGGTTGCCAAAGCCAACGGTCGGACGCTGATTGGACAAAGCTGATTCGTGCCGCTAACCGTGACTCACGCCAACGAACCATACTCTTGCTCGAGCCAAAGTCGTTGCACCGGATTTGCAAGATTAGCTCACCCAAGTCACGCAAAGCAGAGTCACGGGTCTCTTCGGGTAAAGTTCGGTCTGTGATGCAAATATCGCCAGTGCACTGGCTCCACCTGCTCTCAACGCGCCCGGGCGCCTGGACGCGCCTCTGGGTAAATACGCGACAGCTCGCGGCAAGCAATCTCTGGCCACTATCCAGCCTCTACTCAACGCCCATCCCGCACCAACGCAGCGACTCCGTCTTGACTCAGAAGTTTTCCCCGCCGTTTGCGACATGCTGCACCAACCATGCCGGGTCCGTCTCTCGTCACCTCCACCGCCTGCCCAACGCCCGGCACCGTATCATGCGGCCCCAGATTCGATCCTCCACCGCCGCCGACGGCCATGTGCCTAAGCTGGCATAACGCTCGACACCAAGCGACACATCTCTAATCATTGCTCCTGCTCTCCATGGTCATGCCCCACCCGCGCTGACACAGCGTTCGACAACCAGCGACGTCTCGCGGCATCTTCTCCCGACACCTCACCTTCACCTTCACCGACCGCCCCGCACACGCGCTGCAACGCCTCCGACACCGCGACGCGACGTTGCGCAACCCATCGTGCCCCGCCTCTGCGTTATCGTCTTCACCATCCGTGACGTCGATATGGGCACAACGTAAAGATTGCGGCTTTCGAGCAGAGCCGATCCCTCTGGAGCACATGGGCTTCGCGAGTATGTCACATTGGCTCTGCTCACACCCTCGAAAAAGTGGAGCAGGTTCGTGGCCCTCGCCGCGGACAGGGTGCAACTCTGAGACGCCGTCCGGCCGCTCTACGTTCTCGATTAGCACACGGATGCCTACCCACCAGTGGGTAGACTGGCGGAGAGGACTTTTTGCCAGAGTCTGAGGATTGCGATCTCTCTGCGAAGAACAACATTTCTTCTACAACACTATCGACGACTATAGAGAATATCTAAAAGTCAAGTCCTGTTTGTCTGTAACATCAGCACCAGCCTCGTATACTGTGACAGCCGACTCTTTCTCAAGTTCGTCCCTCCTCTTGTTCTCGCTCCATCCGTGGTACCAATAGTACGCCATAAGCAAGATAAGAAGAACCCAATCCACCACCGAAACAATCAAGCCGGCAGTATACCGAGGCGCAGTCTCCGTCGTCCACAGCTGTGGGAATCCAATACAGCCAGAACAGTAACCAATAAAATACATTGTATTGACGACGGATCTCTTCGTGTTGCCCCGAATATTAGACGCGTTCAAACTCATGGTCAGCGAGAAGATACTCGAGATGCAAGAGCCGAGCCAAGCCGCTATGATTATGGGCCAGCCTTGTAGAGGTAGTACCAGCAGCATAATACATCCGGCTAGGGGTATCAAAACAAGTCCGATTATGACGAGAGAACGTTTCTGGGGCCATATCAAGCACGCGGTGATTCCAATCCATATGGCTACGATCTGAACCGCTCCGGAGGGCGATCCGTGCAGTAGAGTGTCGCCGGAGGTATAGCCGAGTTGTTTGATGATCAAAGACGCGAACTTTTAAGAAGACTTGTTAGTGCGAGTATGATGTCTTGAAAGGGCTGACTTACAGTGAGCACTGGAGCTGGAGCAGTGACGAGGATACCGAAAGCAAACGCAGCATATGTCTTGAAGTCGAATGCAGCCTCCTTGAGTTGTGCCATAGAAAAGGATGTCTTGTCGCCGCCGTCGTGATCTTCAGAGAGCCGATGACGAGCAGCGACCTTCTCTTCCGCGGTCAAGAACCAAGCCGTATCAGGACCGTCGGGCATGACGAAATAGAAAACTACTCCGCAGAGCGAAGTGAATATCCCACAGACAAGGAACATGAGTCTCCAAGATGCCAGCGATGATTTGTTGTGTTCTCCGATGCCGTACATGAGTAGAGAGCCGACGATTTGCGCAAGAGCATTGCATGTAATCCAGCAACTATCACACATTCTGTTAGCTTGCCGTCTCTGTTTCTCTCTTCTCGCGACGTACCCTATGCGTAGCGCATGCTCACTTTTCTTGTACCAGATGCTTGTAATGGTGATGAAGGCTGGACTGACTGCCCCTTCTGCTGCTCCTAGGAAAAAGCGCACAGCCAAGAACTGATGGTATGTTCTTGGAGCGGCAAGGCACATGCAGACTGCGCCCCAGATGACACTGTTGAAACTTAGTCATCGGATGCATAATCTGGCGATGATGGACTTACATTGTAATTCCAACGAACTTGGACAGTCTGAAGCGGCTCATGAGGTAGATGAACGGGAACTCGGAAGCAAGCTGTCCAACGTAAAATATGGAAGAGGTCCATGCGAATTGGTTGCCCCTCAAGTTCAGGTCAGTGATAAGACCATACACTGATGCATAGCTCAGGCTCTGCTTGTCCAGATCTGCTCATTTGTCAGAGATATGTTCCTTGGTCGGGAATCCTGATCTTACACTGGAAGAAGAAAACGAAGCACATCTGTATCGATCGAGGTTATAAGCTTGTGTCATCGCAAAAGTAGCACTGGGAGCGTTACCATTGGCAAAACTACCATATCAGTCTTTTTGAGGACGCGTTTTTCCAGAGCCAACATAGCGAGATCTTCGGTCTCTGAATTTGACTGAGTGTCATTGGCCAAGGCGGTATCTGGCTGTGCCTTCTCGTCGCTGGCGATGTGACTTGCCATGTTGGCGTCGAAGGCAAGTACGAGATTGACGAGAAATGTTAGAATTCGTTGAAGTAAAGTCTTACTGTCCAACAACTTCAGGGCTCTGGTCACGACAAGTAAGATATATGGATAGTCAGGATAAGGCGTATCGTCGCTATCAGGCTACTTTGCCGAACGTTGGCAGGGATTGAAGCCGCGCGAAGCTAGACGCCGCCTGTGCCGAACACAAGTCACACACGCGATACTATCTACCCAGTGAATCATGGAGAGATAAATGTGCCGCTATCGTATTCTGCATAGCGCGCTGAGCACGACGGTATGCGACGATACATTCCTACACCTGTGGCGCCGGAACACACGAAGTTTGGTTTTGCCGGGAGCTTGGAATGCGGGGAGTTATCCACAAAGCTAGCAGCTCACTAGCTAGAAGGGCCTACTTCTTAAAGATAGCACATATACCCGATGCTAAAGTATGACTCGGGTCGGGTATCTGTACCCTGACTATGGGTAAGCTCCAACTTCCAATACCCGCTCGGATGGGAGACGAACAGCAGCACGGCGCAGACCCGTTCAATATCCACAACGTTCGGAAAAATCATTGACTATCAATTGAGTAAGCAGAACGATAATCCGGCATGATCTGGTGCCTTAAGATAGTAGAAGTGATATCGATTTATTTTCCTGGCTTTCATCACCCATTTGCCGCTGTTTCTCAAGCATTTGTTACCGAGCATATCCCTTGACGCCATGGTATCTGCATCTTCATACCACGGACAACTGCTTAAGCCGTGGACACCTCCAGCACAAAAAGCCTACATCTTCACCAATGTCAACCTAGTGGATGTCGAGGCCGGCGTAATCCACGAGAACGCTACTGTCAAATTGTCCGGAGGACGAATCGAACAGGTCGAGCTTCAACACAGCTCCGAGGGCATACTCAAATCGTCCAATCTTGCTGACGTCGCGACACGAGTCGATCTTCGGGGAAAATACCTCTGTCCGGGATTGTTCGATTGCCATGTCCACATCATTGCAGTGCCTGGCGAAATACAATGGCAAGATACTAAATCTCTGAACCCAACGACATCAGCCTACAGACACGCGCATGTTTGTAAGCAAATGCTCGATAGAGGCTTTACTACAGTAAGAGATTGCGGCGGAGCGCAATTGTCTCTCAAGCAATCAATCGAAGATGGCCTTGTGCAGGGACCTAGATTGTTTATCGCGGGCAATTTCTTAAGCCAGACAGGCGGGCACGGAGATACGCGAGGCTCTCACGACCACTCAAACATCGAATGCTGCGGCGGCGGCTCATCAAATTTCCCATCCTTTATTTGCGACGGTGTGCCAGAGTGCTTGCGCGCAACGCGCGAAAACATTCGTACCGGATCTGACTTTATCAAAATCATGGGGGGAGGTGGTGTTTGCAGCCCGACAGACCGTATCGACAATGTTCAGTTCACGTCGGAAGAAATCAGCGCCATTACAACAGTCGCCAAAAACAGCCAGACGTATGTGACTTCTCATGCGTATACCCCGCAATCCATTCGGCAAGCGATGGAGAACGGGGTAATGGGTATCGAGCATGGTAACATGATCGATAAGGAGACAGCAGAGTTGATGGCCCAGAAGGGCGCATATCTCACCCCAACTCTGGTAACCTACACCGCGATGGGCGATGAAAAGTTTGCTGGATACATGCCAGCCGAGTCCATGGAGAAAAATGCCGAGGTATACGTGGCAGGGCTGCGAGGTCTTAAAATTGCTGCGGACGCTGGAGTAAACATATGCTACGGTTCTGATCTTCTCGGACATCTCGGCGTACGCCAGCTCGATGAGTTCACCATCCGAAGCAAAGTGCTACCTCCTCTGGCAATCTTACGAAGCGCGACCATCACCCCCGCCAAGATGATGCGGCAGGAACACTTTCTGGGGCAGATCAAGCAGGGCTTCGCTGCGGATTTGCTGATTCTGAACGCAAATCCTTTGGAAGACATATCGGTTTTGGCACAGCCGGAGAGAAATCTCTTGGCTGTCATTAAAGACGGTAGAGTGTGTACGAGTAGATGGAGCTTGCTTGATGAGGATGCGCACGAGGTACGGCCGTTTATAGAATAAAGTTTATCGGATTTCTTAGATCGAATTTGATGTCTTTGCCCCGAGTTGTGATTTTGCCTGTGTGATACATCATGGTCAGAGTATGCTCAACCCTGGCCATAGGTAGTCTGCCCGGTGTAGCCTCCAAGAAGCTGCGTCATATCCAGTACGTCTAGCCGGCCGTCATCCCACTCAAATCCTCGAGGAACCTCTCCTTGAAAAGTTGATCCGTTGAATGCATCGAAGTTCCAGTTAGCATTTCCTTGATCAAGCCAACGATAGTCCAGAGTGTCAAGCATGTTGTTATTGGGGCCGACTCCGTACATGAGAGGGCTTTCGTGAGCGCGTATCCCAGAATCGCTCGGCAAAGTTTCTGGATCGAGTTGAGAACACAAGTTGTCCGGCCGCGATTCATGACTTCTAGATGATTCTTGCTCTGACATCCAGTTCACCCAAGCTTGATATGAGGCCGTTATAGATGTTGGTTGCATGGAGCCTCCAACTGAAAGCCCGCCTTGGCCTCGGTATATTTTCTGACGCAAGTCGGAAGCAAGTCGCCTGAGTTGCTCAATAGTATGAAGATCCGACGAAGCTCCACGGCAGCCTCCATGTGCCATGTAACGTAACATGTCAACGCCATCGTTTATGATTCTGCTCGTCTCGTCTCCGTGCTGCAGAATACTATGGAGTATCAATATGATCAATGCTGCGGCTGAAGCATGATGATCTGTGAACGAGAAGCGGCAGAGCAAGTTGTGTTTCTTCAAGACCAGTATTAGCTCAATCGTCGCCTTCGCAGCGTCGACGCAGAGGGTCGCAAGGTCCGTCCGACTTTGGGGCTGTTCCGGTGCGGGGGTTGCAGAGTCCGACAAAGCTTGAATGCGTTCACGCGAGACTTGGAGAAGGGAGGCACGGCCCATGAGGATCCACGCCCAGTGATAGTGTATATGCAGGTGAACGGTCGTACGGAAATTCCGTTCGCTGGGAAGCAGGTCGTTGGGGTGGAGATTGGAGAAAAGCTGAGATCGCCACTCCTTCAATTGTTCTGACAGATCTTTGATGCATGGTGGCTTCGATTCGAGAGGACTTAAGTGATCGTCAGCATCGAACAATCGCTTTTGAGGCCTTCGCTTACATGTTTTGTACGATTTTCGAAATGATACGCGTTAACTTCAAGTATTCAATTTGATGTTGCACGTTCGATTGATATTCGAGGTTGTCCAACGACGGATGATGTTTAGGAAAGGGTGCATCGATCGCGTCTTCTGCGATGCTAGAAGGCCGACCTAAAGCAATACTTGTGCGTCTGAGACAGCATTAGCTGAGGCCAATCGTAAGGAAGGATGTGCCATACTTGTCTATAGAATAAACACTCCACCACAAACGATTGCGAACTTCCGTAATTCGAGGATCCAATGTCACGGCTAATGTCTTGCGGTGCAGCCCACTGGCAATTGACATCCTCATAGCCATTCCAAGGTAGAGATAGGACGTGTCTGGCAGGTTGTATGGCAACTTGTACAGACCTGCCAGTAGACACACTTGGACTCCCTTCAGAGTACATGTGTCAATGACCCTTGGAATAAGCTTCTGAGCACTGTCGTAGAATTTCTTTCCAGGGTCTATAGGAAGCGGGTCGTTGGATGTAGGTCGGGATCTCAAATGCGCAAATTGGCTACCGAAGGCAAAGACAAGCAAAGCGAAGCAAATAAATGCATCGTCAATCGCACTTCCGGATGAGGTACCGGTGTAATAGCTGTTCAGAGTAGTATAAAGCCACTCTCTGTCGCAATAAAAGAACGTTGCTTCGACGTAATAGAAGAATGTGGAAACAAGGAATGCAGCGATCTCTTGAGGAGGGAACGCCTTCATTGCTTCGATTGACTCTTTACTGTGAACAGGCGGTGGCCTGACGATGTTGGCCATTTCCTAACACGGCGTTAATAAAAGCAACCTCACTAGTAACATTAGCTACCAGATATATGACATACCAACGAGCTTCGGTTGGTTGATTCTAGGACCCTCTTTCGGGTAGTGGAATGCAAAACATCTTGAACACAAAGAAGGAAACTCTCATTGGAACGGAGACCAGTATATTCTAGACGAAAGTGAGCACATAGGACGCAAATGTATTAATGTCACACTCAACACGTACGGGTCCGATCGAAATCCTCTACAATCAGAATAGCATCTTCTGGTTCTACGCTGGGGACCGGTGACGGCTCACCGGGCGATCGCCCTCCACAGTCCGACCTCGAGTCTGTTGGGCTTTTCCCAAACGAAGTCTGAACTGCTTCTGGTGCAGCAAGTGAGGCATTACTGTCTGCGGAGCGGCCCAAGACTCTAACCTGAGCTGTCGGCATCGAAGAGGGGGTTCCAACGTCTTGGTCTTCATGTCCAGAGCCAGGAGGATGTCTGTCCATCTGCTGGCCGTTGACAGCGGCATTTGAGCTGGTGGCGGGAGAACCCGACGCTTGAGCTGCATATAAATCACACTCTTCACCCTTTTCCACACACCTCTCGCAAGCACCTACATTTCGTGCTATGCAGCGGCTCTTGCGAGCCCTACAGACTGCGCATCTGCATTGCGTGTCAGTTGCCACGGCGAGAAATTGCTGTATCGCAGAGCCGCAAGATGAGCTGATCACTTACGCGCGTGAAACTCGAACTCGAATGTCATCAGGTACGCGTCTCAAGCGCGGATTGCGTGGCATGACTAGATGTTGCCGGAGTACATCGCAGCCTTCCTGTTCTTGGGGATCGGAGTTTGCGCAAGTGCCAATGATCAGGTCGACACTTCCCCACTCGGCCCCTTATCTCACACGGATCGCTTGAGATCATGCCGAGGCAGCGTGCAGGGTAAACCCCTGCTAGCTCTATCGGCGTCGATTCGGCTCGCTTATTGTCGCCAACGCCTGCCG